GACCATTACACAGTGCTGGCTGGCTGGCTGCTGATTGGCTGATGCGATCACATGTCGTTGAGGAATGCATTATGGGGCAGCGCGCCTTGTCTGCGCGCCTTCCCCGACATCCCCGCTCCGTCGCCGCACATGTCAGCCGCCATTTTCGGAAAAATTTCGATTCGCGCGTCCGAATTAGGCTGTTTTTCGGATTCGGCACGAATCGAAATTTTTCCGAAATTCGACTCGAATTCCACTTCGGATACCGCTCATCTCTAGTTATCACCTTTATTAGTGAATCCGTCTTTTGTAGCAAAGCAAAATGACAGCGAATGGTTTCATTAGTGGTCTGGACAGGCTGTGGCAGTCTACGAGCTTGGCTGGTATGTCTCTACGCATAGAATCCCACTGGCAATAAATCAGCTTCATTCTTTGCAGTACTCTGTTACCCCAGGCAAGGGTGAGGGTTTGACTGTACTGACTGTTCTATATATCTCCACTATAGTAAGATACAAACAGTTGTCAAAGTATAACTAAAAGCGAAAAAAAAACTTTTATTAGTTTTGAATGGCATGGAGAAGGGTTAGAGTCCCTGTTAGGTTGTTATTACTGTCTGTGCCCCCGTTAGGGAGATTCCCCCTCTCTATTTGTCCTGGTGACCATCATCATTAAAGCTGGCCATACATAATACAATTTTCTTATTCAATTTTCTTTAGATTTACCTTCAACTTTGTACCGCAAGGGACAGCCTGATTACATACAATTTGAACATGTTTAGGTTTGATCTCAAATTATATGGTTTTGGTAAATCTAATGAAAAATTGTAGAAGAAAATTGTATGTATGGCCAGCCTTAGAGTGAAAGTGAAAGATTATTCCAAATTTTGGGTTGTTGTTATCAGAACATTAATAGAGGAGACATCTTCTATTGGGGACACTAGTTCTGCTGACAACCAGGGATTCCCACATATTGTAGTGATTTCCTCTTAGAATATCTTCCTTCCTCAGGAAATTAAAGTAAATCTCTCCAATGGGACACAGATGGCAAAAAAAAGTTCTAACCCTCCCTTACTCTTGTTTTGCCATCTGTGTCCCATTGGAGAGGTTTCCCTTAATATCCTGTCCCATAGAAAAAACAGGAAGTGAGAGGAAATAACTCCAAAGTGAGTGAATCCCCGGTAGTCATCAGAACTAGGGTTACCCTCTATTCCTGTCCTGAGGACAACCCAAAATTTTGGATTTTTGCTCACTTTCACGCTCGGTAAAGTGAACAAATAGAGAGGGTGAACCCTAATGGGGATGCACAAAGCAATGAAAACCTGACAAGTGTTCCAAACCCTCTCCACTCTATCGAAAACTAAAAAAAAAAACTACATGTTCTGTGTATTTGTTTTGCCAAGAGCAGCCCAGATCCTCTTTTTCTGGGGTCCCCCACAGGCACTCTGGGCTCGACCCCCCTTCCGAGTGCCCTATAGCAAGCCACTTGCTATGGGGGCACGCATACATGCTCGCTCCAGAGCCCAGCTCTGTGTCTCCATAAGACCCACAGAACAGAGCTTGCCGCCCCCCCACTCACACGCACATAGACACACACTCCATGTCACTGTCTCTGATTGACAGCAGTAGGAGCCAATGGCTCCTGCTGTTGTATCTGAGTTAATGAGGGAGCGAGAGAGCTGAGAAAGCCTCTTGTGCATATAACTGGATTGAGATTGGGCTCAGGTAAGTATTTAGGGGCCTCAGGGGGAAGCTGCATGCAGGAGGTTTTTTTACCTTACTGCATAGAATGCCTTTACAACCACTTTAAATGCATAGTTAAAAAAAAACTGTTTATTCTGCCGAAATATTTTTTATTCTGTTGAGACAGTCTTGTGATCTAGAAACTCCTGGCAGCTCGTATAGCCAGGTCGGTGACCAAAGCGTTCTCCACTACAGGTAACCACAGCTTGGTCACTGACCAGCCCATGCCTACTAATGGGATAATAGAGGAGCTACAGCTCTTATTTTTCTTTGTAATCTTTTATATTAGCTGCTCAAGGCAGCCAAATTATTTTTACTTATTATTATTTTTATATTGTTTTCATGTATATATATATTATATATATATATTATATACTTTTATATATATATATATATACTGTATATATATTATATATTATATATATACAGTTGTGGCCAAAATTATTCAACCCCCAATGCTGTAAAGGGGTTTAGGGACTATAGTGTACATTTGGAATTGTATTCAGAATCAAATCCTACAAGGACGTTGTAACTACCCAAATGCAACTAAAATGACATCAATTGTTTATGTAATACAGTAGTAAATGGGTTCTTATGTGGTTTCTTCATTGCCACAATTATTCAACCCCTTAAAGACTACCACTCTGAAGAACAGAGGTTCATACAGGTGCTTTCCATCAGGTATTGAAAACACCTGTGGATGTCACCGAGCAGCAATCAAGCATAATAAGCACCAATTAGGCAGCTTTAAAATGACTGTGATACTCAGCTCCTTCTAGACATTTACTGGTGTGGTTACAAACATGGTGAAGGCAAGAGAATGGTCCAGGAAGACAAGAGAAGAGGTGATTTCTCTTCACAGGAAGGGCAATGGCTATAAGAAGATTGCAAAGATGTTAAACATACCAAGAGACACCTTAGGAAGCATCATTCGCAAATTCAAGGCAAAGGGCACTGTTGAAACGCTACCTGGTCGTGGCAGAAAGAAGATGCTGACTTCGACTGCTGTGCGCTACCTGAAGCGTAGAGTGGAGAGAAGTCCCCGTGTGACTGCTGAGGAACTGAGAAAAGATTTGTCAGATGTGGGTACAGAAGTTTCAGCCCAGACAATAAGACGCACACTGCGTAATGAAGGCCTCCGTGCCAGAACTCCCAGGCGTACCCCCTTGCTGTCTCCAAAGAATAAGAAGAGTCGACTGCAGTATGCCAAAAGCCATGTGGACAAACCACAAAAGTTGTGGGATAGTGTTCTGTGGACTGATGAAACAAAATTAGAACTGTTTGGGCCCATGGATCAACGCTATGTTTGGAGGAGGAAGAACAAGGCCTATGATGAAAAGAACACCTTGCCTACTGTGAAGCATGGTGGAGGGTCAATCATGCTTTGGGGCTGTTTTGCTTCTGCAGGTACAGGGAAGCTTCAGCGTGTGCAAGGTACCATGAATTCTCTTCAGTACCAGGAGATATTGGATGGAAACGTGATGCAGTCCGTCACACACCTGAGGCTTGGGAGACGTTGGACCTTTCAACAGGACAATGATCCCAAGCATACCTCCAAGTCCACTAGAGCATGGTTGCAGAGGAAAGGCTGGAACATTTTGGAGTGGCCATCGCAGTCACCAGACTTAAATCCGATTGAGAACCTCTGGTGGGACTTAAAGAAAGCAGTTGCAGTGCGCAAGCCTAAGAATGTGACTGAACTGGAGGCCTTTGCCCATGAAGAATGGGCGAAGATACCCGTAGATCGCTGCAAGACACTTGTGTCAAGCTATGCTTCACGTTTAAAAGCTGTTATAACTGTAAAAGGATGCTGTACTAAGTACTAAGATTGAATGTCACTTGGGGGTTGAATAAAACTGATAATGCTGTGAGCACAGAAAGACATTTGTGGTTATTTCATTATAACTGTTATGTTATATTTGTCTGACCTACAAGTGCCTCTTTAATGTAAATGTAAGCAAGATGACTGAATGATCAAAAGCAATGTCAAACTGGCCAAAACACTCAATTTCAGTGGGGGTTGAATAATTTTGGCCACAACTGTATATATTATATATTATATAAACACTTTAATTTTTGTTTACTTGTAGCATTTTATTTTTTACTGTTACCTTTAACTTTATTTTCATTTAGCTAACAAATTTAATTTTAAAGCCGGGCACACTTTGCTAGTAGTTAAAATAATGTGCATTATGGAAATTAAGTCACTGCAATAGTACAGAACATTTTCTCTAGAGACCCATCCAAGTGAAAGCAATTAGGATCCCGTCCAGAATCAACACTTCAAGAGCTTTTACAGTCATCTGTAAATCACTAATTGCACCCAAACAATTCTGTCCTATATTATTTTACTTGGTGTATTACTAAGTAGTAAACCTGGAATGGTAATAATATAATTCAGGGTTTACGTGTTTTGGAAATATGTTGACTCCTCCATAATTATGTCTGTGAAAGCGAATATAACAAACAATGGCAAAAACATTTTATCTTTTGCAAGCTGATTCATATTACAAGTTATATTGCATTAGATCAGCCTTTCTCAGTCAGGTTTCTCTTGGAGGTTCTAAGGGGTTCTTTTGGAGGTTCCTATGGGTTCCTTGAGTAATTTGTATCGCTATGTAAGGTACATTCTTCTCAGTGACCACCAATGTAAGGATAATTTTTCCCACTGACCACCAAAGTAAGGAGCTTTTCTTCCATTAACCACCAATGTAAAAAGCATTCTTCCCACTGGTCACCAATGTAAGGAGCATTCTTCCCACTGATCACCAATGTAAGGAGCATTCTTCTCATTGATCACCAATGTAAGGAGCATTCTTCCCACTGATCACCAATGTAAGGAGCATTCTTCTCATTGATCACCAATGTAAGGAGCATTCTTCTCACTGATCACCAATGTAAGGAGCATTCTTCCCACTGATCACCAATGTAAGGAGCATTCTTCCCACTGATCACCAATGTAAGGAGCATTCTTCCCACTGATCACCAATGTAAGGAGCATTCTTCCCACTGATCACCAATGTAAGGAAGATTCTTCCCACTGATTACCAATCTAAGGAACATTCTTCCCACTGATCACCAATGTAAGGAGCATTCTTCCCACTGATCACCAATGTAAGGAGCATTCTTCCCATTGATCACCAATGTAAGGAGCATTCTTCCCACTGATCACCAATGTTAGGAGCATTCTTCCCACTGATCACCAATGTAAGGAGCATTCTTCCCACTGATCACCAATGTTAGGAGCATTCTTCCCACTGATCACCAATGTAAGGAGCATTCTTCCCACTGATCACCAATGTTAGGAGCATTCTTCCCACTGATCACCAACGTAAGGAGCATTCTTCCCACTGATCTCCAATGTAAGGAGCATTCTTCTCACTGATCACCAATGTAAGGGACATTCTTCTCACTGATCACCAATGTAAGGGACATTCTTCCCACTGATCACCAACGTAAGGAGCATTCTTCCCACTGATCACCAATGTAAGGAGCATTCTTCCCACTGACCACCCAAAAAAGGAGCATTCTTCCCACTGATCACCAATGTAAGGGACATTCTTCCCACTGATCACCAATGTAAGGAACAGTCTTCCCACTGACCACCAATGTAAGAAGCATTCTTCCCACTGGCCACCCAAGGAAGGGGCATTCTTCCCACAGACACTGACCACCAACATAAGGAGCATTCTTACTGTTGACCACAAAAGTAATTAGATTTTTTCCCACTGACCACCTAAGGAAGGGGCATTTTTTCCACTGACTGCAAGTGTACTAGTGCCCCTCTTTTGCTCACCATCAATGTAAGGGGTAACTTTTCAACTTACCATCAATGTGAGAGAGCTCTACAGTTTTCAATTTCTGCTTTTCTTTTCTGACTCTTATTTTATATACAGGATATATTGTCATACAGAGCATCCCTGGGTGTCAAAAATGCAAAGTACAACACAGTCCTTATTTTATTTATTCTTAGATCTACAGCATGTTTTTTGCTAATGTCTCGTGATCTGTAGATATATTATCAGGGGTTCTCTGAGACTTGAAAGTTATTTCAAGGGTTCCTTCATGTTAACAAGGCTGAGAAAGGTTGTATTAGAAGATCAGTGCACTCAAATTTGTTAAGCCAAACAAGCCTTTTAGCGCTGGGCCCTACGGTAGTAATAATGGTGTCAGTATAGGTTGTCTTGCTTCTGGGCAGGAGGCTTCTACACTCTAGAGGATTCCCATCATTTATTTCAGGTACTTTTATAGCACCATCAATTTATGCAGCACTTTACATACAAATATATATTATATTCGCATCAGTCCCTAACCCTCAAGTGGCATACAATCTAAAGTCTCTAACTCATATTCATACATACACATACTAGGGCCAATTTAGACAGGAGCCAATTAACCTACCAGCATGTCTTTGGAGTGTGGGAGGAAACTGGAGTACTGGAAGGAAACCCATGCAGGCACAGGCAGAACATGCAAACTCCAGGCAGGTGGTGCTGTGGCTGGGATTTGAACCAGTGACTTCAGTACTGTGAGGTGGAAGTGCTAACCATTAAGCTACTGTGCTGCCCTTTCCTTGCTTTGTAGTACAAAAGAACAGATCTAATAGTAGGACACCACATCACACTTCACTGTAGGTGGTGCTGGACCCTGAGGTTAGCCTACTGGTAGTACTTTCCAATAGTATTGTAAATGCATTAGTACAGGTTGTCTCGTTACTGGCCAGGTGGCTTCTACACACCAGATGATTCATACAGACTTTTTGGTTTGTAGTGCAAATGAACAGATCTAAGAGTGGAGTGCCAAACCACATTTCAATTTAGGTAGCTCCAGAACCTAGGGTTGGCCTATTGGATGGTGTTACTTTCCAATAGTATTATAATGGAGTTGGTTACTAGGCAGGCAGCTTCTACACACCAGAGGATTCCCGTAGTTTCCCTGGTTTATAGTGCAAAATAGTGTTCTATCTGAACTATTAATCTGTAGCATGGTGCTTCTTAGACTTGTGGGTAGCCCATGCATATGACACTTTTCACTCTCATTCTCTGCCTCCAATGTGTGCGCTCACTAATGCCCGGGACAAGGCTGAGCCTCGTTCATGGAATTAAACATTCAGATAGCACCCCGAATTAGAAAATATCCATACAACCAGGGTGTCTGAATCATACCCTGAGGCTTTGCTGCACATGCCACATTGCCCTATGATATGGATACCTGTGCTTTGAGTGTGACATTTTGAAGGAGATGCCACAGAGCAATTTTCCACCCCCCCAATCAAGCTCACCTATCACATCACTCCCAGTGATAGCCTGAGGGTCCGCCATATGTTCACATGAACCCACTTGCATACATGACTTTTTTAATTCCTATCAGGGGCTAGGTCCCTAGGATTTCCAGCACGTGGATTCAGCTACAGTTTCTTGGGGCACCAACCACTTGGGAGGGAGGTAGCGAACCACTCCCTTCACTATGCATGAGACCCATCACCTTGGCCGACACTGTACTCCCGCTGACTGGCTGTCATTACATTCCTCTGTGTTGGTTACTCTTGGCAACAGTTTGTCTCATTCTTTAATCTGTGTGTATATTGCAGGCCCTGTTCTCCAATACGCCATGTACCACCATGAATCCCTTGTAGTAACATCAGACCAGGCCTTCAATGAAACTTTACTTGAAACTCTGCAGCAGTCCCTTACAAACTAGTTATCCCTAGGCTGCCCAGGCATACCTTTACAGGTAGAGGTCCATACATGGCAAGGTCCTTAGCAGGTAGGCTCTCTTGGGGTTGTGGTTGGTTACATTCTCTTCGTTGGACCTCTTACTCATCTCCCATGCGGTCTTCCAGAACTCTCTGGGTCAAAAGGTGGAGCCCAGAAAAGCCTGGGAAAACGGCAGAACCAGTGTTAACCCCTTCCCACCTGGGAAGCCCAGAATTCCTGAATCCTGTCTAGCAGCAGCTCAACTTGTAGGCACCTGCCTGTCAGAGGGACTTTCACATATCTCCAAAACCTCTCTGTTACAGCTAAATGGTGAGCCATTCTCAACAGCAAAGATTCAGCATTTGATCATGTGAAGGCTTGCTCACACCTTTCATTCACCCCTTCCTTCCCTACTATAGCCCAGTGAGGTTGCACATCAAAGTGATGGGACAACAGGAGTGTGTGACTAGCAGCAAGCTTCAACACTACTCGGAAGTGTGATGGCAGTGTCTTTCAGAATGGTTCTGTTCTGGTTTTAAATTCTTCTCCTATGACTCTTTCATGGCTTTTGATGTAGTTTGAAAATACTTTTTTTTAATGCACAGGTGCTCCTAAAGTGGAATATGTCAGAACATACCGTATTTTCCGGCGTATAAGACGACTTTTTTTACTTAAAAACATACCCCAACAATTGGGGGTCATCTTATACGCTGGGTATGGAACGCTGGATGTGCGGTAATACTGTATGGTAGCTTCAGCTACATACAGTGCACCGCGCTGAGCCAATCACGGTGAGCGATGTATTCAAATTAATGAATACAGAGCCTGCTCAGATTGGCTGAAGTTGTGACATCATCAGCCTGCCTCTCTGACACAGCCAATCCGAGCAGGCTCTGTATTCATTAATAGAATACATCACTTGCCATGATTGGCTCATATGACGTCCTCCCATTCTCCCTCGGACACAGCTATCACCGATCACGGAAAGAGCCGAAGATGTCGGCTCGGTCATGTGATCAGCTGTGTCCAATCACAGCTGATCACATGTAAACAGGGAAATGCCGGTTATCGGCATTTCTCTCCTCTCGAGCTGTCACGCTGACAGAGGAGAGGAGAGCCGGTAATCGGCTTTCCGCGGAGGCGACATGTACACTGATCATCAGGGCACTGATGATCAGTGTGCCCTGATGATCAGCATAGCCCCAGCAGTGCCAGCTGTCAGTGTCCATCAGTGCCACATCAATGCCACATATCAGTGCCCATCTGAGCTGCCTTTCAGTGTCACCCATCAGTGCCAGTCAGTGCCACCTATCAGTGCTGCCAATCAGTGCCACTTATTAGTGCCAGTCAGTGCTGCCTATCAGTGCCATGTATCAGTGCTGCCTTTCAGTGCCCATCAGTGATGCCTGTCAATGCCCATCAATGATGCCAATCAGTGCCACCTATCAGTGCCGCCTATCAGTGCGCATCAGTGCCGCCTATCAGTGCCAGTCAGTGCCACCTATCAGTGCACATCAGTGCCGCCTATCAGTGCCAGTCAGTGCCACCTAACAGTGCCAGCCAGTGCCGCCTATCAGTGCCGCCTATCAGTGCCATGTATCAGTGCTGCCTTTCAGTGCCCATCAGTGATGCCTGTCAATGCCCATCAGTGCCACCTACCAGTGCCTCCTCATCAGTGCCCATCAGTGCCACCTACCAGTGCCTCCTCATCAGTGCCACCTATTTTATATGGGTACAGTGTTGCATGACCGCGAAATTGTCATTCAAAGTGTGCCAGCGCTGAAAGCTGAAAATTGGCCTGGACAGGAAGGGGGTATAAGTGCCTGTAGGCGAGGGGTTAAATGGTGTTCCCTCGGAAGGGGGGTAGTCTTATACGGAGAGTATAGCCCAAAACCTATGTTTTAACTGGAAAATTAGGGGGTCGTCTTATACACCCAGTCACCTTATACGCCGGAAAATACGGTACCTGCCACTGTTGACTTCTTTTTACAGAGGCACATTCTGGGCTGTTATTTGTAGTTTTCGCCTTGAGTGAGTCTCTTGAACAAGCATGAACCCAGTGAAGCTTTGGGAAAGTCAGTCTGCATACATTTGCTCCAGGTCCAAACCATGTCGCAAGTGAAAGGGGAGACAAATACTGATGATGTATAGAAGGAACATGAAGGAAGCATGGAAGGTTGGTGAAACAATGTATAGTTATAGCTTTTGCTGACAGGCTGTTTAATTGTTCCCTGGAAAACATGAGGAGCACAATGCCACAAGCCTAATAATACACAAACATAAGCTGGACATCTGTAGGCCGAGGGGCTAATTATAGCACAGCTGTCCTTCTACGTGTAAGGGGAACCAACACATGGCAAGGACACAAATCATCACTCCATAAAGATGTTTAGTAACATGCATATAGCAAAGTAACCTAAGAGGACCTGTTATATTCCAGGTAGGTTCTAGCTACCAAAGGACATCCTATACAAAAAGAATTGTATGCGATTAACACTGGGAGTGATTACATTCAATGTATACATTCTTTTGTACAATCAATGTTTTCTTCCCATTTACAGTACCTGGCCATGTTGTTCAGTAAAAATGACAGTGGAGGGGTTGGTAGAAACCGCAACACTGCTGGGCTTGCTTACACCGGTTACCCTTTGTTCAGTTGGTTTAAAATGTGTGCAGTCATGGTAAAAAATATTGGCAGCTCTGCATTTCTTTCAGATAATGCATCACTTCACCTAGAAAATTTTTGCAAATACAAATATTTAGACATTTTCACATTTATTTCTTTTGTTTGTATTGGTATGACACAAAAAGCCCGTGTCCAACCTGTGGCAGTGAAATAGACGTAACACACTAATGTGCTCTCTACTACCAGAAGTCACCCCCTTGTTCACAAAACCGTATAGTAAACCCTGATTGCTTTACAATACCATGCCCCTTCCTCTCCCTTGGGGCAGACAAACCATTTGTATAGATTCTGTAGCTGCACAAGGGCCCTCTAGGACTTAGTAGTCGATTTTCACTAGATACTAGAACACCTCCAGTTGTCACAATATTAGGATCTTGTTCTGACCCTTGAACCTCTGTGGTGTCTGTAGCTCTTCTCACTGTACCACCTGAGATGCTGGACAGCTCCCTGCCTGAATCCTTGGACAACCTTGCATTGTACCTTGTTTCTGGTGAACCATTGTCAAGGTCCTACCTTTTCCCAGAGGTTATGTTACTCCATGTGCTGGCATCCATCTTGGATTTCTGCTGAGCATGGTGGGAATCTTTTATGCCTTCAGGTCTCTGAGGTCCATCCCCCAGAGGGGTGTGGCTGATTACATATAAGCCTGTGGTCCGCACATGCTCTTTGCACTTGTGTCTTTGTGTTGCTATAACTCTGTTCTGACTCTCGTGACTCTCCTGGAATCTGACTTGGCTAATGACTCGACTATTCTTTGTGTTCTCCTTTGATCTGACCCTCTGTTGCTGAACCTGGCTCGTGACCTGTGATTCTCGTCTGCTGTCCTGTACCGTTTTGTCCCGTTGTTGTCGACCCAGCCTGCCTGACTACTCTATTGTCTTTTCCACCAGCTACACGCCATTGGCGGCAGCCATTACCGCAACTGAGGTGTCTCGGGGGCTGCGACCTGGTTCCTGGCTGCGTCAAGTCTATCCCCACCATCAGGGGCCCTGGTGAAGGGCAGCCTGGGACTTAGACTCCGCGCCCTGAGGGACTTCGGTCTGTGGGTGGTGGTTGTCGTCAGCCAGTGCGTTACATTGTTATTAGGCCTGCCTGTCCGTTCCTCAGCTCCTGCCCTGACAACCATGAACACTTTGTACCTCCTATGAACTTCCTGATCTAAGCCATGTCTCTGCACTGTTTTCCAGAATATTCTTAAACCAGTATCTTGCTCCTTATTCTCCTGCTGCCTTCCGCATCTTCACTACCACTCATTGCCAACCTTTGGCTTGTTCCTTGACTACACTTACACTTGATCCCAACCTACAAACATGTTACCTTTGGCTTGTTTACTGACTATGCGTCCGCTTGATCCCTAACAGCGATATCTGCTACTAGACCATGGCTTTCTCACGTCCTGGTGAGGCGATCCTGAGGACTACAACCTGTCGGTGTCATGCAGCAAAACTTATCTCCACCATCAGGAGCTCTGGTGAATACTAGTTAGTGCTTCAAGGTTCACTAGAAACAAGGTACAAAGCAAGACTGTCCAAGATATTGTCCAGGGCACTGTCCAGCATCTCATGTGGTTCAGCAAGAAGAGACACTCTCAGGCACAGCAGAGATTGCAAGTTCAGATGCAGGACCAGACAGGTGGATGATATTAGGTCAATGATGTCACCAGCATCCCTGACTCTTTGTTACATGGTGTTGCAGAGCAGGGAATTTCGCAGCCTGCTATCAAATGACAGTTTCCTATGGGGTTTGGACAAACTGAGTTTGGCCCAAACCTCAGCTCCTCAGTATCTGATACGGGTTCTCACCATTCCACAATCTTACCAAAACTAAAAACATGATTTTACATACACTTTAAATGATCTATTATCTAAAATATCTATTTCTCTATCACCAGGTTCCACATCAATGCTATAAATATGGGTCGAGTTAACAGCTCTGGAACCGAAAACAGCCAGCCAAAACCTGCCACTGTGAAGATCACCCTGGCTAAACATGACAATAACAACAACAGCTACAAGAGATGTCTAAAGGTATCTGAGGCCAGGCAAGACCATGAATGTATCATGAAAGCTAATGTTGAATCTCACATTTCCTCCAAGCCTCAAACTCTGGACATACAGAATGGGAATCCACATGAATTCCGAAATGTACAGACTGACATTCATGTTTCTACAAGGATATCCAACAATGTGGTGACTGAGAAGATGATTGGCGTCCTAAAGCTTTCAAATGTGAAAAGCAGAACATTGACAGCTTCCAAGTCCAAAGGCCAGAAGGAGGTTTTCCATTTCTGGTCAACCAAGGTTAATAGTCAAGAAGATCCTGATGGAAGAATATCATCGGTTAAGCCTAGGCTACACAGAGATAATAAAAATGATACAGTAAAACATTCAAGTGGCAGTCCAGCTCCAAGATGTGATGTTGATACAATATCTACTGCAATGACATCTCTGAAGAGGAAGAAGAGGGATGAGATTTTCTCTGCCAGTGCTGCAAGACATATTGATGAACATGTTATTGCTATGAATATTCAGGTATCTCAAAAACCAATTATTTCTACATGTACAGTGGTTTTATAAAGCATTTTAGGGGTATAGTGCAAGGGCGGACTGACCATTGGGGAACTCAGGCAGTGCCCGAGGTCAGTAGGGGGCCCAATGAGATGTCCCTGGTACCTTTCATAGGCTTTTTTTGGGTGTGATTTGAGTTTGGGCGAGGACACAGGGGCCCCATGATCCCCTATTGCCCGGGGGCCCCATGAGTTGTCAGTCCACCCCTGGTATAGTGTGTATATATACACTGATCAGTCATACCATTATGACCACCCACCTAATGTTGAGAAGGTCCTCGAAACAACCCTGACTCATTGAGGAATGGGCTCTAACATAACATTGACATGAATGGCAGGGCCCAAGGTTTCCCAGCAGAACATTGCCCACAGCATCATACTGCCTCTGCCTTCTTCCCATAATGCATCCTGGTGTCATCTCTTCCCTGGGTAAGTAATGCACACGCGCCCGGCCATCACATGCTGTAAAAGAAAATGTGAAACATCAGACCAGGCCACCATCTTCCATGGCTCTGTAGTCCAGATCTGAAGCTCACATACCCATTGTAGGTGCTTTTGGATGTGGACATTGGTCAGCATGGGCCCCCTGACCGGTCTGTGGCTACACTCCCATACACAACACACTGTGATGCTCTGTGTGTTCTGACACCTTTTTACCGAAACCAACATGAACTTTTTCAGCAATTTGAGCTCAAGTAGCTCTTCTATTGGCTTGGACTCCACAGCCAGCCTTCGCTGGTATATCTACCAGTCCAAAAGAGAGCAGATATGGGAAGTTCATTGTTAGGATTTATACAGTTTAAAGCAGTTAGATGTGGTGGCTGCATTTTTTATCTTTTTTAGGGTTTTTCTCTTCTGTTTTCACCTGGTGAGCTGGCCATTAACACACCTCCTGTACTAGAGCGCCCCCACTCTGGATGAAGGCGCAGAGGGGGCACATTAGGACAGCAGTATTGTCAATCTGAGGGGAGGGCATTCTTAGATGGACTAGCAGATTTAGATACACTAACAAATTAAAGCCAAACTTCAGCTCAGACTTTATTAGCAGTTACAGCAAAAAGTTTTTTTCCTTTTGGGATAAAGGTTTTGCATAAAGAAGAGCTGATTATTGTAAGCACCCCTGTCAGTGGTAAATGGTTTGTCTCATACCTGTAAACCAGGGGTCTCCAAACTT